TTCTCCCTGAGGACGGCGAAGAGGAGCAGTTGTTCGGGCGAGAGGGGGAGAGTCGCGTATGTAATATCATTTCTAAGCTTCGCAGTTTCTGATGTTGGAAAATAATAAGCAAAGAATTTTTGAGCTAGGTCACTCTGGGTTTAAATAGATCTAGGTCCTAATGATTTTAACAATATTTTAGCTTTATCCCTTAGGAAAAAATAAAAAGCCTAAGTTTAACAGCATCATTAGAGAAACGACAATACTGAAACGTGGCACAAAGTTCTAAGAAACTTGAAAGATGTAAGTTAGGATCTTGAGATAGAGTTCCCCCAAACTTGTTATTTTGTACCATCTGAATGATAATAGATTTTAATTTAAATATGTTAACTTTTATGGTAGGAGTTTGTATACTTCGATGAATTTCAGTTAGGGTTGGCATAATCTCTCAAAGGTCTAAACTCTTGATGAATTTCAGCATTTTGATTATTTTGGTTTGCCATTTCTGTAATTTTTTTTTATTTTTCAAGATTTTTAATTTTTTTTATTATATTAATTTTTCTAATAGTTCTTCGTAATTTAGAATTGTAGGGCACTAGTCCTTCAGAATCTGAACTACGCATACACTAACATAAAATAAAATAAAATAAAATAAAACATACAAAATAAGATACAATATTTAAAGTTTAAATAAGACTTTTTAAAAATAGAAAATTCCTTAGTTTTCTTCCCCGGCAACGGTGCAAAAAATTTGATACCCGTGGATACTTAATGCTTATGCATAGTATATCAATAGTTCTGATGATATTTTTCACTTATATTTCCTTATTTTTCTACAAAATCAAAAACTTGATTCTGAAGAGAAATAAGAATTTAACTTTTTAATTTATATATGGATACTACGCAAGTATACGTTTCGTTCTCAAGTAATATAGCAATTTTTTATTAAGACCTGAATATCAAACTCACAAGGAAGATTATGGAATATGCACATTTTAGAAAGTTTTTCTGTTTTTAAAAAGATAATTACTTAAATTAAAAACAAATTTGGTAGGAATTTAAAATCAAAATATTTTTGGTATTTTTGATATTTTAACGAAACAGTAAAAAGATAACTAAAGTTTTTGTAGAAGAAAAATATTTAATATGAAATTATCTTTCTTCTTATCATGAATCAGTAATAAGAAAATGAATTATGTTGTGGAAGTATGCAAATTGTATTGTGTCAAATAGGAGCAATAATATTCTTTACCTTTACTAGAGATGCTATAAAGAAAATTGGCTTTTGAAGAGTTCCGAAGACCGGCTAGGCAGGCAAGATACTAGCTCTCACTCTAGAGTTCCCTTGAGTCCCTCCACTC